AGTTCTAAGCAAACAATAACTTCTTCAGTACAGTGATGCTCTTAGAATTAACTTTGGTTTGAGGACTAGGACTCTAAACCTATACTAGCCACTAGCCCCACATGGCTATTAAGAAAGTGAAATGCGCCAGGCGTAGTGGTGAACACCTATAATCCCAGAAGCTTGGAAAGCTGAGATAGCAGAATTGAGGGTTCAAAGCCAGCCTCAGCAATGATGAGGCGCTAAGCAACTCAGTGAGACCTTGTTTCTAAATAAAATACAAAATAGTACTAGGGATGTGGCTCAGTGGTCGAGTACCCCTGAATTCAATCCCTGGTATAAAAAAAAAAAAAAAAGTAAAATGTGGCTAATATTTAAGTATTTGAGGAGATTAAAATATTATTAAAGTTTTTAAAGTATTATGATAATGAAGTACATTCAATTTTAAAATGACAATATTTGGGGCTGGGGTTGTGGCTCAGCAGTAGAGCGCTTGCCTAGCATATGTGAGGCTCTGGGTTTGATCCTCAGCACCACATAAAAATAAATAAAATAAAAAGGTACTGTGTCCGACTACAACTAAAAAAAAAAAAATTTTTTTTAATGACAGTATTTGGATACAATAAGTAAGAAAGATCATTAAATTTTTATTAAATAGCATTAAAGTTTTTTGAATAAAGCATATCTGCTCTGGAAATAAACCACATATGAAGAATTTCTTATTAATTACTCACAACTTTTAAATAAAATAAAAAAATTTCTACTCTTATATTTTGTGAGGAAGGGGCTGGGGTTGTGGCTCAACAGTACGGTGCTTGCCTGGCATGTGTAGTGTGCTGGGTTTGAGCCTCAGCACCACATAAAAATAAAATAAAGGTATTGTGTCCAATTACAAGTAAAAAAACCCCCCAAAACCCAAAATATTAAAAAAATATTTTTTGTAAGAAAAAAATTGAGTAAAGTATTTTATATGGATGCAGACAGACAAGCAAATAGTATATGCTAGAAATTCATTGAAGTATTTGTTATCTTAACAAAGGTCTTCTTGATTTTGTTGCCAATTAGATTTGATTTCTAATCCCTGTTTTAAAATTTCTTGGGATGGGGTATTGGCTCAGTGACAGAGCGCTTGCCTTGCATGTGTGAGGCACTGGGTTCTATCCTCAGCACCACATAAAAATAAACAAAATAAAGATATTGTGCCCATGAACAGCTAAAAAAAATTCCTCCTCAAAGAGATAATTGTAGAATATTAAAACCTGCTGGAATTTTCATATAGTCTAACTCAATGTGCTATTCGATATAAAGCAACTATTGTACTTTTCTGATATGGGTATTAGAATTTGAATGTGAAGTTAATTTTTAAAATTTTCAAGAAATGCTTTTAAAAAGTTTTTATTTATTAACTTTTACACTGGCTACTAACAGAAACACATTTTAAAATTGGAATTCATTAGTTGAATGTTTCAAAGGAATCTCCAAATTAAAATAAATTTAGGGGCTGGGGTTGTACCTCAGTGTTAGAGTGCTTGCCTAGCATGTGTGAGGCACTGGGTTTGATTCTCAGCACTGCATATAAATAAACAAATAAAATAAAGATCCATCAATATCTAAACAAAATTTTTAAAAATAAATAAAATAAATGTAGATCTAAGATGTATGTTTATCACCTTACTTTGTTCTAATGAATATGCTCAATTCTGAAACACAATTTTACAGGGAAAGGAGATTATAATCACTTGAAATGTTTTATGCTTATTCATAACACTTCACATATGAAAGAAATTAGTATTGAATTTTAAAAGTAAAATTTAATCTGCTTCCTTTTGCTTTTTTCAATTATGCTACTAGAAAATTAAAAAATTATGTTTTGGGTTTGTATTATGTTTCTATTAATAGCATTGTGCCAAACCAAGAGTTATTTCCATTTCTGACATCCCATCACTGTATTTGTAAATTGAACTACACCCATCCATCATCTCTCTTAAGGAAAGGAGAAACCTATCTGTTTTTCATAGTCATTCATGCTATAGTTAAGGAATAAGTCATTCTTTACTTGAAAGATGCAGGCAATCTCAGGTGGCTCATTGATAGACAACCCAGGTTCCTTCTGATTGCTCAGTATTTCCTTCTCACTAGGTAGGAAACTTTGTTTACCTCTGTGGTTGGTATGGGGATTCCTGGGCCTGGCCTCCAGATGAGGTCTTCTGTCTTCCATGTTTAAGTCACTTGAATTCATTCACGCTCACGTTACTTTCAGTTATCTGGAACTGCACAGGTTGAGAATTATCAGTGCCCTGAAACAGCATCTAATAACAATCAAGCCAATTCTGCCTTTACTTTTCAATGATTAACTAAGAGTTAAATGCAGATTTTAATCATGAGCACAAAGTGCTCAACTTTGTGAGTAACCAATTATAAAATAAAACATTAAATTCATAATTTAGGTGATTTCAAGGGATCAAATTCTTCCTTGCTTTTCCTTGGGGATGAGGGAGTGTCAATTCACATTCAAAACTATTGTTCAGTTTATACCTCTAGCTAAGTTGCTTAAACAGTTGCTAGGTTTCATTTTCCTCTCCTGTAAAGCAAATATTGTTGCCAGGAGAAAAGAGTACATTTTTGTTAATCCAAAACCATGTACTATCACCCTATCTGGCATTATTATACAGTACTCTATACCTCTCAATCCTCTAGAGTTTGAAAATAGTGAGCAATTATCCTTTATCCTATTCTTTGGAACACAGCTAAGTGATTAAACTCTCTGCTGTACTAAATCAAGAGAAAGAAATTACCTTTCAATAACTAGAAAGCTATTGATTAACTTAGCACCTATGAGTCCTGTTTTCTCAGAACCACTAGAAATCCGCAATTCTTTCTTTCCTCTTTCCTTTATCTAAATGATTTTTGACACTGGTTCTGTAAGAGGAAGCTTCTCTAAGGGAACATCTCAGTTTAACTCATGCATATCATGTGGGCTAGGGTTAGGGAAAAAGCAGGTGACTCAGAGTCCTCAGCAAAAAAATTTTTGAGACTGCCAAAGTTTTAAAATATTCATAGTTGGAAACTGTGAATAGATCTAGCATTATATGAGGGGCACTGTTATTCTCATCAGAAAAAGGAATCTCCCCTGCACCACGGCTCTACAATACTTTTGGCCAGTCTCTTCCCTAATCTTATCAAACCCTGCTCTCATGGCGGAGGTTCAATAGTTTGTTTGTTGTTTAAGGGGAAAATTTCTTCTTTTCTTGAAAAATATTAAAACAGAAACCCAGAAATTTAGGGGAAATAAAAGCAGTAAGGGGAAATAAAGAAAAAAAGAAACATAAGCAAGAAAGGGAGGCACACATAGGAAGAGGAAATGCCATGAATAAACAGACAAAATGTTTTTTTTTTTTTTTTTGGAGGGGGGGAATGAAGGCAAAGAGGGCAGGAAGAAGAAAATCGGTGATGGTCAAGCGGGTACAGGGATGAGAATGAGAGCACGGTGATTACCAGGGTGGAATGAAAGAGGCTGAAGAAGGAGGTGAAGGCTGGTCTGCAGGGAAGTGTCCAGAGTCCGGGATAAGTCTCTAGTGCACCGGAGCCCAGTTCGGAGGGAGACGCTGTGGGGTCACGGGGCAGCGGGCTGGGGGCAGCCCTGGGCAGGAAGGCGCATTCCCAGGCTCAGCGGGGGGAGCTGCAGAGGTGCGGGGGGCGGGCTTCAGGAGGCGGCAGGGCAGGGTGCGGGGCCACCTGCTGAAGTGCTGGGGGACCCCAGGAGGGATGGGGAGTGCGGGGTGTTGAGGGCGCTTGGTAACAGACAGGGGTGAAAGAGGTGACAGGGGTGAGGGATGGGGATGGACATGGTGAGGCAGGGGCAGTGGTGGGAGCCGGCACTGAGGGAGGGCGAAGGTGAGGGAGGTGTTGAGGGCGCTGGGGAGACCTCCGGGGAGCTGGGGGCGTGGAGCTGCTAAGGACTGCGGAAGGGCGCTGAGCGGGACGGGCTGAGCAGCGGGGACAGGACTGGAGGGGACAGGGGCTGAGCAGGTGGGACCAGACTGGGGAGGCAGAGGGTGGGGGGGAAGAGCTGGGGGGCAGGGGTGAGCTGGGGGGGGACAGGACTGGGGGAAACAGGGATGAGCAGAGGAGAAAGGACCCAGGGGGACGGGACTGAAGAGGGGACGGGACTGGGGGAAGCAGGGCTGAGGAGACGGGGGCTGGAGGGGACAGAAACTCTGGGGAGTGACAGGGACCGAGAAGGGGACAGGGTCTGGGGAATGACAAGGCTTGGGGGTGACAGGGGGGTGAGCAGAGAGGACGGGACTCTCGGGGGGGGGGTGACGGGACCGGGAGGGGACGGGACTCCTGGGGGTGACAGGACCGAGAAGGGGACAGGACTCCGGGGAGTGACGGGACCCAGGAGGGGAAAGGACTCCGGGGGGTGACGGGCGCTGAGGAGGGGCCGCGGGCTCCGGCGGGCGGCGCGGGGCGGCGCGGGGCGGCAGGTGCGGGCGCGGCGGGCACTCACCGGCTGCGGGCTCCGGCGGCAGTGCCGGCGGGCGTGGGGCTCGGGCCCAGCAGGTCGGCGGCCCCGCCCGGCGCCGCGCACTTTCGGTTTCCTTTCCCGCAGACCCGGGGCGGGGCGAGGAGCCGGGCAGGCGGCCCGGAGGAGGAGGAGGTGGACGAGAGGGAGGAGGAGGAGGCGGAGGGGCCGCGGGCGCAGGAGAGGGGCCGGGCCGAGCGCCCCCGCCCTGGGGCGGGCGGAAGGCTGGCGTCGCCTCAGCTCCCCCAGGCGGCGGGGCCGGCGGGCGCGGGCGGGCGCGGCCTCGGGGAGGGGACTGCGGGGGCCGGGCTAACTGCGTCCGGGGCCGACGCAGGCCTCAGCCGGTCCCGAGGGAGCGGGGACCAGGCGAGCCGCTCGGTGCGTGCGAAGCGCGACATGGCGGCGAGGCCGAGGAGCCCGGCTGCCCAGTGTGTACGAGGCGGGGGGCGGGGCTAGGCGCGGCCTTGACAACCATTAGAGCGCTTGGAGCTGCGCGGCTCGGGGACTATGTTTCCCAGGGGCCGTCGCGGCGGGCCGGAAGGGGCGGGCCCCCTGCCAGTGCTCACGCGCGCCAGTCCGGCTGGTTATATAAGGGAGGCTCCGGCCGCGTTCGTTCTTTTGCTTCGGAGGTGCTTGTGGTGTGTGGTAGTTTTGTTCGCGATCCTCGGCATGTCTTCCTTCGCTGCCCACCACGTTTGTTTAATGGTGAGTGGGGACTCCACTGTTTTCCCGTCACGAGTTTGGTCCTCTTTTGTCTTCTTAGTGCCATCGCCTCCCCTGCTTGGCCTAGTCGTCTCCAGCGCAGAGGCGTTAGGGCCGTGGGGAGATGAGTTAGCTAGGAAAACTCGCGCCTTCTGCTTGACTCTAAGGAGCCCTTGGCTGGTGTAAATGATGACTTCACTTTTTTCCCCATCAGATCGACAATGCTGATCTTTTTTTTAACACTTGCCAGTTAATTCTGACACACCAGCTTCAAGAGGCCCTTCCTCTCCTTGCTCTTTCCTGGCCATGGAAAATGGCGACTGACGCCCTTTTGTATTTTAGGTTAACGCAATTGGATTCAGAATGGATGTTGCAAGACGGGCTCACCTCTGGGCTTCCACGGGAACCCCACTTTCTGTCTTCGGAGCTCTGGGGTAAGCACGTATGTCTTAGGATCTAAGACAAACTTTGGAGGTTATGATTAAATCTAATTGAAGTTAGTTTTTTTGTGTTGGTGCTGGTTGGAACTCAGGGCCTTGAGCATGCTTAACATGTGCTCTGTCACAGAGCTACTTTTCCCAGAGTTCTAGTGAAACTCTTAGGTGCTTATAACAATTTATATATTGGATGGGTTCCTAGGAAGAAACAGTTCTAGATGTCCAAAGAGCTTTCTTGAGCTTTTCCATTTGTGAAAAACCAAAAGAATTTCTGTTAACCTAGATACTAACTGCAGAGCTTATCCCCACCCCCTTCACTTGAATGCAGAAATGAGGCACATAGAACTGAGACCTTACTGAACATTGCCCACAGGGTCTGGCTATATATTGCTTAGGCTAATAACTAATGGCCTCAAGCAGTCCTTCTAATCAATGCCTTGTCCTCTCAAGTGGCTGGGATTTCAGGTGTGATTTCTGCTCACTGAATGAGAGGAGATGTGGCAGCAACTTATCTTATTCCATATTCCTCTTGTTAAGAGCTCAAAGAGCAGCTGCAAAACACACCACAGGCCTATAATCCCAGTGGCTCAGGAGGCTGAGGCAGGAGGTTTGCAAGCCTTAGCAACTTAGTGAGACCCTGTTTTAAAATAAAAAAGGGCTGGGGATATGACTGAGTGCCCTTGGGCCCAATCTCTGGTACTCCCCCCCACCAAAAACTTAAGAGCTGCTTGCTGGCATATATGATGACTGAACTTTTTTCCCCGACAGATCGACCATGTTGATCTAACTTTTCTAAGCCAGTTTCTGTCTGATATGCCTGCTTGAGCACCAACCACCTCCTAATCCCTTGCCCATCTAACTGATGGGATTTAATCTTTCTGTGTTTTATCTTAGGTTTGCTACCAGAAACCAGGGTTTGAATGAACAAGGATGAATTCCAGGAGTGTGAAAGGATTGGTAAGTGATGCCGGCATTTCTTCCTCATCTGAACAGACGTGGGAAAGTAACTGCTTTTTCCTAGTGTGGAACTGTCTTTTTGACTCAAATTTTACTCATTGAACCGATGCAGCTGATGACACAACTTTTTTCCCCATCAGATCGACCCTGTTGATCTAACTAAACCTGTAAGCCAGTTTTATCTGATGCATCGACACAAAATAACTTGTTTTTATTTGTTGTTTGCTCTGTTGGTTGGTGTTATTCCAGCATTCAGAGTATTTGTTCACTTCCTACAGGAGTCCTGGGTGCTACTATGTTGACATTAGTCTAATCTGATGTCTTTGCTTCAGTCCGTCCTGCAACAGGTGAGGTTTCTGCTTTGCAGCTGTCACACCCCACTTTTGACCCAGTACTGAGTTGTGTATAAAGTGGGAGGGGGGAATGAATTTGAAGTTGTTCTTATGGGGGGTGATGTTGGGCTGTTGGTACTAGAAAGTCTTAAAGTTGCTGGACATTGTAGTTTCCTTAGCCTGGCAAATACTGCATCTTTTAAAATAAGGAACTTGTCTGGGATTGTGGTTCAGTGGTAGAGAGCTCACCTAGCACGTGCAAGGTCCTGGGTTTGATCCTCTGCACCACATAAAAATAAATAAAGGTATTGTGTACAACTACTAAATTAAAAAAAATCAAGGAACTTGTCTCACATGAGTTGGAATTTGTTTGATCATGATTATTTTTGTGGCATTCAATTGTAAGCCTTATTTGTGTGTTGGGTGAATGGAGGCTGTCCTCAATTTCTTGCTATGTGGGTCTCTTTAGCATATTGACTTGCTTCATCAAAGTGAGCAACCAAAGCAGATAGACACAGGTGGCTATTTGTGTTTGTTCCTCCCACCACTACTTTATACAGAAGGCAACAGCACCATCCCTTTTTTCTGGCAGTTTGCTTATCTGGTTGGTTGAGACTGGTCTGAGTCAGACCTTAGTTGCATACCTTGTGCTGACCTGAATGATCCCTTAGTAAATTGTGCCTAACACAGAAAATCCACTTTTGCCAAATGAGTATTTCTTTACTTGCCTAGAACCTTTAACTAGTGAAAAGAGTAAACAACAGTGACAGCTCCCCTCCTTGAGTATGGTGTTCCTCCTATAGATTACAGATGTCTCCTAGTAATTCATTCCGTAACTTTATTTTTTAGTTGTAGTTGGACACAATACCTTTATTTTTATGTGGTGCTGAGGATCGAACACAGGGCCGCGCACATGCAAGGCAAGTGCCCTACCACTGAGCCACATCCCCAGCCTCCCCCCCCCACTGACTGAAAAGCTGTAGAAATTTAGATTGTTGTCACTCATTACCCTAGATTCAAAGTGTTCTGGTATAGCTTCAGGCTTTCATGTGAAGATTTGACATTTAAAGAGGATCCTCTGCCAGGCATGGTAGTATGTGATCACCTATAATTAAAGCTACTTGGGAGACTGAGACAAGGCCAGTCTGAGCTACTTAAACCCTCTCAAGGAGGTATGTGGCTCAAGTGGTAGCCTGCTTGCCTAGCATGTATGAGGCACTGGGTTCAATTCTCAGCACCATGTAAAATAAAATATATTGTTTCCACCTAAAACTAAAAAATAAATATTAAAAAAAGGGCTGTGAATGTAACCCATTGGTAAAGGCACCCTTGGGTTCAATCTCCAATGCAGAAAAACTCAATGATCCTTTAACAACTGAGAATATTCTCAGTTACATAGTCTGTTTATCCACTACACATTGGCACATATATGTACTAATTGTACAGTGCATTTATGTTTAGGTTGTGTCACTTGAGAATCAACAAAATTGTTTTGGGGACAGTAGTGGGGATTGAACCCTGGGCTTTGGTACACTAGGCTCGACCACAGAGCTACTCCCCAGCCCATGTTTGTAGTTTGACTGTTACCTTTACCCAGAAGGGCTTATTTCTGGATTTAGGTTAAGTATTTCAATTGTAACCAGTGTGGGAATAATACATGGGCACAATATTGGCAGTGTAGAAGAGACGGGTTATCTTAGTGGGAGTTAGCCAGCTCCTTGACTTTGAGGGTGGACCAGCGTGTGGAGAACCACATGCTTCCATATTCCCAGATAGCACTTTTCTGACCAAAATGGAACAGATTATAATGTACTTTTTATTTTCCTTTTAGAAGTTGCTCAGCCATGGAGTTGGAGTACAAATACTGAAAGAAAAAGGAGTCCTGTGTTTCCAGCTGAACCAATCCCACAAGGTGTTTGTGTACTTAGCTGGAGGGCTAGCCCCAGTTGAAGGCTGTACTCCCCCCTTTCTTGAAAAATTCAAGAATTAAATTTCTGACTGTGTAGCATTTCTACCTGCAGAAAGAATAAAAGAAATTAAAACTTGTATTTTGTCATGGGAGGTAAACATTCAGTAGCGATAACAAGTAGCAAACAGGTATCTGTAAATTTCCTTTGGTTTATGTGAGAATCCAGTGACCTAATAGGCAGCTCTGACTTGCTTGCTAGGTCTCATTACTTTGCAGCCTGCCATGTTGAAAGGGGCAGGGGACTTGGTATTTTGAAGCCATTAGTACGGGGTATTCATGCCAACAGGAGCTTCTCTAGTGAAGACACCAGCTGATCACAACTTAGTTGTTACTAAATCTGTAGCATAGGAACTATGGTCGGCTGATAGGTTGCCATGATAATGCTCATTTAAATCAAGACCCTCTGCAAACTGAGGAGACAGCTTGCTTGAGCTGCCAGGCACTCCTACATCTTCCCCTTTGCCATGTGGGACTTCAGAGGGATCTGTGCTGCAGAAGAGACCTGGCTTTCATTAGCTTCTGAGGAATGTGTATGTACATCTAAGGCAACTGACAGTGATTGGATTTTTTTTTTTAAGAAAGAATTTTAATATTTTTTAGTTTTAAGCTGACACAACATCTTTGTATGTGGTGCTGAGGGTCGAACCCGGGCCACACGCAAGCCAGGCGAGCGAGCGTGCTACCGCTTGAGCCACATCCCCAGCCCTGATTGGATTTTTTATAGCGAGACCCTGTCTTCCACTCCCTGAAGTAGACCTACCTCGTCTTGCCTGGATTCCTGATCTAGCATTTATTTCAAGCTACAAAGCCTTGGAATAGTTATATGGCAATACCCCATAGAGCCTGACAGATGGTAAGATACTCAGTAAATATTGGTATATTGATACATATGAATGGGCTGGGTTGTGGTTCAGTGGTAAAGCACTTCACTAAACGTGAAACGATGGGTTTGATCCTCAGCACCATATAAATAAAGGTATTGTGTCCATCTACAATACAAAAAAAGTGAATCAGTTTGGCTACAGCAGGGCTCCCAAGCTCATGAAATGGTATCAATCCTGCAAGCAGAGTACCTGCAGGTTCCAGAGGCACAGGTGAGGAGTTAGCTGTTGTTCCCACTTCCATCTGAGAAATAAGGAATGATTGCTTCCTATTTGCCCCCAAAGGTTTTTGAGCTACTCTTTCATAATAGTGGGTGTTAAGTAAGCAGACAACAAAAACGGGGCTGGGTTTCTGGCCAGGTGGCAGAGAGCTTACCTGGCACATGTGAGGCACTGGGTTCAATCCTCAGTACCACATAGAAATTATATATATATATTTGTAATGCTAGGTTGTTTTTTTGTTGTTTTGTTTTTGGTAATTCTAGGTTTAGTACCTAGAACCTGGGCCTCACATGCTAGGCAAATACTCTACCTCTGAGCTACATCCATAGTCCCAGAATTTTGTTTTTTCCTTTTTGTACTGGGCATTGAACCCAGGTATGCTTTATTACTGAGTTATATCCCAGCCCTTTTTAATTCTGAGAGGGGATTACTGAAACCAGCTTTGAATTTGCCATCTTGCCTTAGCTGGAATTATAGGCTTGCACCACTGTGTTTGGCCTCAGAATATTTAGTTGTAAATGAACACACAGTATCTTTATTTTTATGTTGTGCTGAGGATTGAACTCAGTGCCTCACACATGCAAGGCAAGACTTTACCACTGAGCTTACAGCCTCAGCCCCACAGAATGTTTTATTAAAGAATATATAATTGTTCCACAGTGTCCTTAGGGGATTAATTTAGAGATTCCTGTAAATACCAAAAAACTGGGGATACTCTTATATAAAACGATGAATTTGCTTAGAATCTATGCAAGTCCTCCAATAGTCTTTTTAAATCATTTCTAGATAATACCTGATAAATTCAATGCTATAGAAGTACAGTATTGTTGGGACATAATGACAAGAAAAAGTGAATGGGACTGTAGCTCAGTGGGTGTGCTGGGTTAGCTTTGGTTTGATACCCTACACTGCAGGGGGGAAATAGTCTGTACATGTTTAGTACAAGTGCTTTTTTTTTTTTTTTTTTTGGATACTGGGGATTGAACTCAGGGACACTTGACCACTGAGCCGCATCTGCAGCCCTATTTTGTATTTTATTTAAAGTCAGGGTTGCTTAGCACCTCACCGGTGCTGAGACTGGCTTTGAACTCAAAATCCTCCTGTTGCAGCCTCCTGAGCCACTGGGATTACAGGCGTGCACCATAAGGCACAGCTACAAATGCATTGTTGAAAAGAATATTTTTGAGCTGTGGTTGAGTCCACAGGTGTGGAACTCTGGATAAAGGTCCAACTGCATTCCCACAATCAGTCCATTAATATTTCTCAAGTACCTACCACATGCCAGGGTTTATTCTAGTTACTGGAGATACAATAGTGGAAAACAACCAGAAAAAAAGCTTGCCTGTGTCGGAGGTGACTTCTCCAGTAGAGGGAGAAGCCGAATAGAAAATAATGCGCTGGGGCTGGGGATGTGGCTCAAGCGGTAGTGCGCTCGCCTGGCATGCATGCGGCCCGGGTTCGATCCTAAGCACCACATACGAACAAAGATGTTGTGCCCGCCGAAAACTAAAAAATAAATATTTAAAAAATTCTCTCTTCCTCAAAAAAAAAAAAAATGCACTGTAAGGTGCAAGGATTCTGGCTCTGGATATGTACAGGGCAGCATTCCTCTGGGGACCAAACCGAGGTAACTGGGGCAAATTCTTGCACCTGTATAAGCCTCAGTTTCCTCATCTGTGAAGTGGGGTTCTTAATGCCTCCTTCAGAAAGGTTTCAGGTGCAATAAAAATCACATCTGTAGGGACTGGGGTTGTGGCTCAGAGGTAGAGCACTATCGTGTGTGAGGCACTGGATTCGATCCTCAGCACCTCATAAAAATAAAGGTATTGTGTCCACCTACAACTAAAAAATAAATATTAAAAAATGATTAAAGAAAATCATGTCTGTAAAATGCTTAGCCTCAGGCCCGGCTTGTGGTAGGAACACAATTCATATCTTGTAAATAAACATCTTTTTGCCAAAGTTAGATGGGAGGTGTTTGATAGTGGAGAGGTAGAAAAAGAACAATAAGTGTGTCCCGTAAGTGCTTGCCATGGGCCCATGCTGCATGTATTATCTCAAACAGTCTCCGCCCAACCCTGCTCATTACTGAATTTTATAGACTGGAAAACTGAAGCTCAAGGGAAGTCGAGTGACTGACTTGAAGTCACACCTTGGAAGTAGCTTTGTTGTATTTGGGTCGTAAGTCTACCACTTTGTAGCCATGTGACCTTGAGAAGCCATTCACATCTCTCTGGGCCTCATTTCTTCATCTGGAGATTGGCTCACTGGCTTATTCATTGAATTCTGTTTTCAGGGTTCCTCTCGGGGTAGCACATATCAGAGTTTTGAGTGGCTGAATAGCGCCGTGCCCATGTCTGTGCCAGAGTTAGTTACCTATTCATCTATGGATGACTGGGCAGTTGTGTCCACCTTTGGGCTATTAAAGTGATCATTGTCATACAAGTATCTATTTCAGTCCTTGTTTTCAATTCTTTGAGGGTAGGACAAGGATACCACCTCTGGGGAACAGAGCTCTCATAGCTCTGCCTGGAAAGGGACTTCTCAAGTGCTTGCTATTTCCAGTTTATTTCTACTTTTAATTTCTCCTGGATTTTGCTTGCTTCACTCCTAATTGTGGCTATACAATTACCAGGGAACAGATGCCACTGTCCCAAGCCAGATCTTGGGATGGAGCCAGATCTTCTCCAGAACCTGCAACTGCAGCCTCGGTCTGCAGGGGGCACTGTGGGCACACATTTCTCCAACATGTGACCAGAAGCTTCCATCCCCAGCCAGGAAAGGGGAAAGTAGCCCTGGCCAGGGCCTTGCTGATGGGAAAGCTTGTCAGAACCTGCAGCCAGCACTTGAAGGGTGGACTGCAGTGTTGGAGCCGGTTCCCCAGGCCTGAGACCGCACAACTTCCAGGCTCATCTTGCAACCGACGAACAAATCAGTAATCAATTTCCACGGTTCCGGGTTTCCTTCTGTTCCATTATGTTTTCATAGCAGGGCGGCTACTACCAGCTACTACTCTCTAAAATGTTGGCAGCTGAATTCAATTTTATAAACTAACAACTGGGCAACACACATGATTCGGCCTCATGGCCCTGAGGCCACCAGTTTGAGACCTCTGTAAATGTGTCCTTTTCAGCACTGCCCTTGTCATTCCTGAATGGGATGCCCAGTTAGATGTGAATGTCAGATAAACAACTAATAATTTTTTAGTGTTTAAGTATGTCCCATGCAATATTTGGGACATAGTAAAAAAATATTTGTTGTGTGTATGATATTCTAATGTAATGAGCCATTATGTACTTTTATTTGCAAAATCTGCCAACCCCTGTCTTGGGGCACCTGGCTTGGGAGAGTGGCATCTGTTCTTTAAGATGCAGCTCCATGGACCTGGTATCTTCTGAGTAAATTTCATATAATTTGTCAACTTGAATTTTTCCTCCAAAGTTATCTGGGGGGCATTGGGCTGTGGAGTCTCCCAATAGCTAGTCTCTAAACTGGCTTCAAAGCCTGGGCTGGTGGAATTGGCAGGCTGAGTGGCCAGTCTGACAGGTCCTCTCCTCCCTCCTCCCATGGTCCTGATGTTAGTTAACGACAAGTCTGTTTAGAAGATGTCTTAGTCCAGTTTATGTTGCAATCACAAAATCCCTTAGACTGGATAATTTAAAGGGAAAGAGTTTATTTTGACTCTCTTTTCTGGAGGCTGGAAAGCCTAAGCGTGTAGAGCTGGAGAGGGCCTTACGCTATTTCAACTAAAGGCAGAAAACAGAAAAGTAAGTGGACCTGTGTACAGGAGGCGGAACATGAGGGGCTGCCGCAGTCTGGCTGGGCACACAATCACGAGCCACCACACAGCTTGTAGATTCAAACAGCAACTCTTTATTCCCGAACTCACACCAGCCGTCTACAATCACGTTCTGGGGAAATCCACGTTCTCTTCCCAAATCCACCTTCTCTCCCAAATTCACCTCCACTGGGCT